ATAAAATTAAAATAAAATTAAAGTAAAATTAAAGTAAAATAAAATAATAAAGTAAAATAATGAAATAAACTAAATTAAATTAAAATAAACAAAATAATTAAAATAAAATAATCAAACAAAACTTAAAATAAAAAATAAAATAAAATCTCTCTCAGCCAGCCGCCCTAAAAAGGCGGAACATAACTTCCCTCCCAAAGCTGATGGACAGGTGGGTTTGCAAGCTGTACTGAACCAGGGACTCGGGTGAAATGACTGATGATAACCAAGCTAATAACATTCATGAATGAAGGCAAATATTATTTGGATTTTAGGCAAGCCCAATGAACGAACCATCACTGGGCTTATGAACCATTTGGTGGCTTCTTGTTGTGGACAATTCACGGAAACTGGAATTCCTCTAAATAGGAGACATCTCAGCCTGTGCCTTTATGACAGTCTCCTTGGCATGATACAGGTCATCCTCGACTTATGACCATGACGGAGTCCAAAGTTTCTGTTAAGTGAGACATTTGTGGAGTGAATTCTGCCCTTTTTTATGCGCCACAGTGGTTGAGTGCAATTGTTAAGTTAGTGAAATGGTTGTTAAAAGGGAATCTGGCTTCTCCATTGACTTTGTCAGGTGGTCACAAAAGATGACTAGATGACCTACAAGGTCCCTTCCAACTCTGTTAATCTAATCTAGTGGCGACTGTCTTCAACAGAAGAGAGATTGCCCTCCAAATATACCTCCCCACTTACTTCATAAGTTTCTAGGTATTTGGCTCTTTGCTCGGGATTCATGGGCACCGACTCGTCCAAGAATTTCTTCAGGGAAGAATCTTTTTCTAAAATAGACAGCATTAATACAAAGAAAGATTAACATTAAAAGGTATGGTTTGCACGATGGCACACGACGCTTTCCACTGCTTCTTATGTTGCAGGTAAAATAGCAACAGCGCTTAGACTTAAACACGGCTTAAGTAGTGTTTTACAGCCCTCTCTAAGCAGTTTACAACGTCAGCACGTTACCCCCAACAATCTGAGGCCTGAATGTCACCTAAAGGACACCCATGTAACAAATGACGAAGTTTCTAGGAATTTTCTAGCTTATCCACTTGGTAAACAGAACATAAAAACAGGGAGATGTACCAGGATGAGTAAGCTACTTTTTGTTAAAATGGAAAATCACAAAACCGCATTTCACTTATTTCGGAAGCGTAATGCGGAGGAATTCACTGGAGGAAAACAAGAATGTTTGGAAGAGTTAGCGGTAAAACGAAAGCAGGCCATCAAAGAACATGGTAGACTCAATTTCATTGAGGAAAGCATCAGGGTTGTGTTTGACCTTGGAGGGGGGCTGGGATGGGTGTGGCCAGGGTGGACGTGGCCAGCTCGACGTCACTTATGTCAGGGCGCTGGTAGTAGCCAACAAAAACGGGCTCCCAAGCTCCGTTTTTGGCTGCAATGGCCTCCTGCAACCCTCTGCCAGCGAAAACGGAGCTTGGGAGGGCCGCATGCAGCCTTCCTGAGCTCCATTTTTCACTGGCAGAGACACCCTGGGCCGGTCCTTCACTGCTTCCAGGGTGGCCTTGCAGGCCAGATCTAAGCACCCCACAGGTGGGATCTGGCCCCCAGGCCTTGAGTTTGACACCATCAAAGCTGACAGCGGCCAGAGCATAGAAAGACTCAAAAAAGTCGGTAAAAAATTGTAAATTTAACACAACAATAGCTGGTTGGGAAAACAACTGCCTGCGAAGGCTCCTGGATCATGGCTGAAAGGCAAAAGCAGAAGTAGTATGTTCCGTCCAATAATTGGGTAGACCAGGTTGCCCTGATTAAAAAAAAAAACTCTTCCTCAAAGAAGTAGTAGCGCAAAATTGGAAGATGGGGAGAAGCCCATAGAATCACCAAGAATTGGACACAACTCAATGGACATCATCATGATCCTCATCAACAGCGTTAAGATAACGTGATTTTGGCTAGTATAGGTAGTCCTTGATTTACGACCAAACTTCTCTTGCCAAGTGAGACATCTGTTAAGCGCTGTTTTGCCTCATTTTGAGACCTTTCTTGCCACCACGATTAAGCGAATCGTCGCCATTGTGACATGAGTAATGTGGTTAAGGGAAATGGGTTTCCCCCTCGACTTTACTCATCAGAAGGTCTCAAAAGGAGATCGCCTGACCCTGCGACCGTCATAAAAAGGAGCCCATTGCCGAGCATCAGAATTTTGATCTTGTGACCCTGGGAATGCTGCAAGTCTGAAAAACGGGTCAAACAAGTCACTTTTTTCCAGGGCTGTTGTTAACTTTGAACGGTCACTAAATGAACCGTTGCAAGTCTAGGACTACCTGTACCCTGTAAGTACTTTTCCACTTTTTCATAAAAAGTTGCCAACAATCTTCCCTGGGGAAGGCTCTGACTAGTGCTCTGCGTCAGAGGCAGAGATGGGGCCAAGGCCGTCTGACGGTTATCAGCTGCCTTCGGAGTCGGACATCAGTGAGGTAGAAGAACACCTGGAGCCTGTTCCCAGTGTGCACATGCGCAGAGCTGTTAGAAGAAGGGAACAGCTCAGGAATAAGGGTTGACTTGGGAGTAAAGCCACAGGTGGACGGTGAATGGCCCCTCCCATAGGGAATAAAAGAGGAGTGAGGTTTTACAGGAGACAATCAATTCATTTGGGTGAAGATCGGTTCCTGCATTCTTGCCAAGTATTGTCTGCTACAGTGTGGCATCTGAAAGATATCGGCCTGGCAACTCTCCAAGCCTGATAACGGTCTGTAATTGCGAAATATGTTGGCCGGGACTTTCCTGGAGAAAAATTCACTGTAAACTAAATAAAAGGGGTTTATCAGGACAAGGAGTCAGTTTCGTGCTGTTGGGGAAGACTAGGTCAGACAACCAACCGCTGAAGAGTAACCTGGGAGAAAGGAAAGGTTTACCGAAGTCGATTTTATCCCTGTTGTTCGCAATGGCGTGAATGAGGCCGATGGTTCCGCAGGCGTTGCTAATGGTCTGCTTCATGAAATAGACGCCGGGTTTGACTTCTTGGCCTTGGGCTTTGATCGACTCTTCCTCTTTCATCCTGAATGCTTCATACTAGGTAGCAAGGAAGGGGTGGGAGATTTTTTATTTTTTATTCCAAATTCCCCTTTTCAAACCATCCATTTTTACAAAATAAACAGCGCTTGCCAAAGAAAGGAAAAAAAAAACATTCAGGACCTGGGAATAAATTTTTGCTCTAAGGCAATTATCAGCTAGAACGTGGTGGCCTAGCAGCGAAGACTCACTTGCCTCCCATGTGGAAAGTTGAGAGTTAAATCCTAGGTAACAATAAGTATTTTTCTCCTAGGGCGCAAAGAAAAAGTATCTGCTGTGAACTCCACGCAGGCGCCGGGAAGGGCATCAGCTAGTAAATACTTAGTTCCATCGAATCTACCCCGAATTAAAAGATTACAGGGTCGTAAAAAGGAAGGTGTTTCTTTTTTAATTACCAACTAGAAGGTTCTACAGGCCTTGCAAGGCCCTTCCTTGGTTTGCACCCAAAATGCACACCAAGTGCACACTTCTCCCACCTTCCTCATGATGCATTGTTTAGCTAGGAAAACAAACTCATCTTGCTTTCCAGAACAATAGAAAAATTCAGTTTCTATGGAAGGCCATATAGAAAGGCTGTGGACCATTAAAAAATTGCCTTTCTCTCTGCTTAGCAGTCTTTAAAACAGGGATCTCCAAACTTGGCAACTTTGAGACTTGTGGACCTCAACTCCCAGAATTCCCCAGCCAAACATGGGGCAACACTCACTTCCAATAGATTTCTCCCTTAGCAACCTAAGGACTCAAGTTATGGTCGATAAGTTGAGGACTTTCAAGGGGGAGGGCCCTTCCCCGGGGGAGGGGCGGGAAGACCCCCATATTCTACCTACCTTCTCGGTGACCGGGAAGAGCAGCATCAAGGCGCAGACGGGCCGAGGCACCATGCTGAGCAGCTCAGGGTCGGAGCCATAGACGTCCACGAACTGCCAGCTGGGGTAGATGCCCAATTGCCGGAGGAACTGCCGGGAGACAGACAGACGGACGGGCAGATGGGCCAATCGTTGCCCACCGCCTCCTCCTCCACCCATGCCGCCCTCCTCTTCCTCACCCCCTCCCCCACCCGGGGATGACCTCCGACCTGAGGGGGATGCGGACCCTGGAGAGACGGCAGAGCAGCTCACCTGGTTCGTTACCTGCAAGCCAGAAAGAGGGGAAAAGAGGGTCAACCTGAGACAGGACACGCGTGACCTCCCTCCCTATGCACCCCCCC